TGTGTTTGTGTGTGTGTGTTGGTGTGTGTGTTTGTCTGTTTTCTCAATCCTGACCTTGAGTCCTGATCTGTGAGATGGGATCTTTTCCCTGTAAAGGGTAGATGGGAGGGATGAAGTAAGATGTCTCATCAAGTTTCTTTTCTTCATATCTGGAGCACTAGGATTTGGAAGAAGGGCTATTAGGATTCATTATTGTTTCCATTCATTCAACAAACGTCTGTCTCTGTTTATAACTAGCCAGCGCTAGGGCTGAGCTGCCACTCCTGAGTTTGCTCAGCCAGATTCTGAGCTTCTGAAAGAGGACTGAAAGGTTTGGAAAGGTCATTCCCAGAGAGCTCACCCCTTCCAGTATTTGCAAGAGAAGTGGTCAGTGGGCCCCACTCCTAATAGGTCCCAGAGTTGGAGAGCCCCAGAATTGAGGTCAGGGCTTCCTTCCCGGAACTGCAGTTACTTGTGACTGATCAGCTCTTTGTCTTTCTCACTTCTGCCACCCTTGCTCCTGCTCCAGCTGTGGTTGTTCTGATGTGTCTCTTCCATCTGCATGCAAGAAGGAGGTGTGTGTGTGTGTGTGTGTGTGTGTGTGTGTGTGTGTGTTTCCCTACAGAGTCCTGGCTTGGTTTCCTTGAGCTTCCTAGACTTGGATAATCTGCTGAATGCCTGGGATCTGCTTCCTGGAGCTCAGAGGACACATTTCAGTTGTGCTACCACCCCACCCTTACAGCAACGTAAAGACAGCAACGGACCTGGAGGGATTTCCTTGTGGTTGAGGGACAGGAAGGCAGGCGTGTCTATATGTGCCTGCTCATAAGTTTAGCACCTTCCAGATCTATGGGTGTGTCTTTTTCATCTTTCTTGCTATCCTCCTGCTTCCTGGGGGATTTCCTCTTCTGTCTCAGGCAGTTGTTTCTCAGAAGTGTGTGTGTGTTGTGTGTGTGTTTTGTGTGTGTGTTTTGTGTGTGTGTTTTGTGTGTGTGTGTGTGTGTGTGTGTGTGTAAAACACTGGTAGGGAAGACTGCTGTGGTGGTTCTGGGACACCAGAAGCTCAGCAAAGAACAAACAACAGCTTTTCAGATCAAGGTTCCCCAAAATCCCCTCTTTCCTTCAGGTGCTTGTGGGAGGGGCTTCCTGGTGGAAGAACGAGTGTAACCAGACTCTCAACTTCCTTAGAAGGGTGGCTCCTTCCTCAATTAAAAGTGAGGATAAGAATCCATTGCAGAGCATTAAGATTAAGTGAGATGCCTTGTATTATTCCGGAACTTTCGAATACTAGCTCTTCTCATGCTTTTCTGTGATAGCCCCTTTTGAAGGCGGGGGGAGCACTCTTTTGTTGGATCTCTTGAGCCTCAGCCCAAAAAAGTCTAGTTACTTTTCTTTGGTCTAGGATTTCTGACTGCTCTTCCCCCATTTCTCCTGATAAAGCAGGAGGAAACGGAGTGAAAATGCTGCCCAAGGACTTAGGAAAAGACATATTTCCTGAGGTTCTGGAATGATCGGGAAGATGATTCTGGCTCTCTGAGCCTTTTACTTACCCCCACTCCCAACACACACACACACACACACACACACACACACACACACACACACACCGTGGGATGTTGACTGTGTAATACACCAGAAGGCCTCATCCTGGATTTGGAACATTTATAATGCTCACCTTCTACATATATTTTCCCTTTTAAATAGCTCAAATGACTTAATGCTTCAGTTTTCCCTTCTGCATCAGGCAGATGTTTGTTCCTCAAGATAACCAGTAAAGATTGTGTAACATGTCTATACAGAATACAAGAAAGACACAGCGACTGTCTGGGGTGTCCTGGTTCACCCCTCTCACTGTTCCAGCTGTCATGCTACTTATGACAATTGGGGTTTTCCCAACAAGTCAACATTGGACATCTGGGTCCCTGCTTTTACTGGTGCCACAAATGCCCAGTTCTAGAATTTGTAGAAGCATAGTGATAGCCGTCCCACCACAACAGCACACTCCTTCCCAAAGGGCTGCTAATTCTTTGCAGGAATGGCAGACAGAGAACCAGATCCTTTTGCTCCTTCCCTCCCCACTAAGCAACTTTCTGGCAAAGGCTCTTTCCTCTTATCCAATGCATTTCCTTATTCAGGACTGTCAGTGAGAAACCTGGCTTATCAATAGCCACTTTTCCTCTTCTCAACCTCTAGACACAGCACTGGGCCTGCAGCTTAGGATGTTAACTGGTCCAACCAAGGAAAGGCTAAGCAGCAGTCGGGGAGGGGTGAAGATGCTCTGTACCCCCAGTGCTGCTGACGCAACCAGTCTCCTACTCCAGGCTAGAAACAATTTCCTGAGTAAGTGCTTTCTTTAGAAAGAGAGACTCTGCTGGAGCCCTGGAATAGTCCCAGTGAAAGAGTTCTCCACCTTAGACTAGGACATGATACAGGGGGTAAGGGATTACCTTTGTATTATTCTGTCATTATCAGGATGTCTCAGAGGTAGGCTTTGTTCTTTACTTCACCAACAGGAGAGTATTCGTAGGGTCTGTCAAGAGACTCCCTCTCTTGTTAGAAGGTATTTAGAGAATCACTGGACAAGTCTACTTACCTGAATCAAGGCATTTTGGCTGCAGGAAGTATTCAGTCCAGTGTTCTTGGTTGAATTCTTGAAGTCCTGGGTGTTTTAGAATTTGTCAGTTGGCCTGGTGGGACTTTGCAGCTTCATATGAGCAACTTGAGAAGTTACCAGAGGGCTAGAGGGATAGCTCAGCTGTTAAAGCCTAGGCTCTCAACCAAAAATATAAGAGAAGTTAGCAGAGGGCAATCAAAGTTATGGGGTGTAAAGTACCTATGCTGAGATCCAGGAGGTTCTGGAGTCTATGGCCTGATTTTTCCAGGCATCCCTCACTACCTGGGGTTGTAAATAAACTCACCACATGGTCTGCTCCACCGGAACTCAAAGCCCTTATTCCAGAAGCAGCTCTGCCTTGAGATGTTTGCTCATGACCTTTTCTCTTACCACACCCTGGGGCTCTTGGGAGGAGCCAAGAGCCGAGCTGCCTTGCCAGGATGCTGTCTCTGTCAGTGCCCATGTTAAGCTGCCTCGTGGGTCCTTTCACATCCTCCTTGCTCAACTACGGAGTACACAGGATGGAAATTGCTCTCTGACTTTGGGATACAGCGCATGGTTCAGTTTAATAAAGCTGTGTGTGATTGGAGACCAAAGCAGAAGGCACTTTCTCCAGGCTTTCTGTGGCCAGCCTGGAGGAGAAAGAACATTCATGCCCCCAAAGCCCAGAACGATGGAAGGACAAGGGGTAGGCCGAACCCTCAGGCTGCTCCGAAATCGCTTGCCACGACTTCGAGCAGGTCAGAACTGGATTGCCTACTTCCTTTTTGGGGTGATCCTCTTATGGGCTGTTTCCTCCTGGACTGCTCCTCCTTCTTTCTCCTTTACATGCCAAAATCCACATGGCCCCCATGTGATCAGGCCAGGAGGATTACTTTACAGTTTGTAGATCTAGTCATGTCTCCTGTGGTCATAAGAAGATGCCCTATGGAACCATCTGATTATTTAGCACAAATTTATTCAGGGCACATGGAATACTACCAGAACTGCTGCGGTACGCAGACGGCAGTGTCAGGCATCAGGCCTCCAAGAGACTACAGAGCATGGCTCCTCAGTTTCTACATCAGTGTTTTCTTTCCTCCCTGTGTCACTCTACAGTCTCAAGTTTTCCAGGACAGGTATGGAAACTGCCCACTTGGCTCTGGTCCTTCCTGCCCGGTGACTGGTGGTGCCTGGTCAGGCTTGGGTATCAGCACTGGCATTGTGGCCTTGAGGCATGCAAGTTGTCCAGATTCTCATACGCACTAAAGAATGGAGGAATGGAATACTTAAAGGGCCCTTGTATCTCCATTCTAGGACCTTCCCAGAACAATACTGTGGAAGCTGCCACAGAACCAGAAAGGACCCAGGAGCATTCTCTGTCTAGCTTTGCTGGAGGCCAGCACTTCTTTGAATACCTTCTTGTTGTTTCTTTAAAGAGAAAGCATTCAGGGGATGACTATGAACCCACGATCACCTACCAGTTTCCCAAGGTAAGGACAAAGGAGAGGTGGGACCCCCAGGACAGGGGTGGGGGCACAGAGGTGTGTTTAAAAGGTGGTAGAGGCGTTCTACTCCGTACCACCCTGCCAGGTCTTGAGCTCTGAGTTCACTGCTCTCTTTCCTTTGTAACCCAGCCCTAGCTTTCTGTTATCACCCAGAGAATCTAGGTCTGACTGCCTTATGAGGGACCAACTGAACCTCTAGAGCAGGGAAACCAGCTTCCTGATCTTGCCCCTTTGGGAACCTCCTAGTTTCCCCAAATTCCACCTCAGTCACATTTTCCTACAGAAAAGCTCAGTTTCTGACAGAGCTGCTGTGAAGGCATGCCCTTCCTGGTTGTGTGGTAGAGAATCAGGCAGACCCAAGATGCAAACAAAGGCTGAGATCAGACTCCTAAAGTATTAGAGGCCTCCTTGTCCGATTGTGCACTGGGTGAGGTACAGTACACCATTTCATCAACCCCTCTTGTTACCTCTCAGCACCTGGACAGGTTGCTTTTTTTCACTGATGTGGTATTTCTCTATGTCACCCTCTCAGGGTCCAGCTGATCTCAATAACCCCCTTTTAAAATATGTAAATCCCCAGAATACTGAATTCAAACCCAGTTTTATATTGATGTGGCCTAGATCAAATTGTTCTCTCTTTGGGGTCATTCCAGCTAGACCTAGAATACAGACTATGTGGTACCAGGCAAAGGCACCTTTGTACTCCATGCTAACAGGAAAGAAGGCTGATAGCCTTCTGACCTCTGCCTCTGCCTCTGCCTCTGCCTACATCCCCTCGCCTTTTCCTTACAGAGGGAGAACCTGCTCAGGGGTCAACAGGAGGAGGAGGAACGGCTACTCAAAGCCATTCCTTTGTTCTGCTTCCCTGATGGGAACGAGTGGACACAACTCACAGACTATTCCAGGTACCCACTCAGCCTGGGGGCAAGGGTACCAGACTTAGATGAAATGACAAATGTGTGGCCCTTGCAGTCCCCTCACTCGGTGTGAATGTTGAGTTTTTGCCAGAATAATGTTTTCCTGGGGTCCTTTAGGCCAAATATCTTAGCTGTGACTTGACCTCTATCCAAAGACACTTAAGAGTTTCTAATCTGTCCTAGACGAAATAGTCACTATTTTTGAGTCTGACACTGGAAAGAAAGTCTTTGGACTCCAAGAAGATAATATCTAAAGGCTTCTTACATCATGAACACTGGAAGTTAACCATGACTTCAAATTTTAGATAAGAAAAGCCTTCAAGCTTTACTTCATCATTAAAGTGGTAATAATAATTGAACCTCCTTCAGAAAGGTTCTTTTGAGTCTCGAATGAGGTGATGCTTTTGGGCTTGGCACCACTGAGTGCTTAATGGGTGACCATGGTAATTATTCTCATGATTAATCGGCAGTGCCCCTATGTCATCCATTCCACTTCTCTGATGCTGACTTCGATCTTGTTTTAGAATCTGGTGAGCACATCCTTGGTCTGCTCTCTCTTAGGGAGACCTTCTCATTTGTCCTGACCAATGTGGATGGAAGCAGGAAGATTGGATACTGCAGGCGTCTCCTGGTCGGTGCTACTCAGAATCACCCCTTCCTCTCTGCAGAATGTTCAGCTCCTCCACAGCTGGGCTTGCCAAAGCCTCAGCTACAAAAGTTCAGGCTTGGTGGCAGTGGTGGTTATAGGGAGAGTACAGCTCAGCACATGCTGCCATGTTAGTGTCCCTTCTGGAATCCCACAAGAACAAGGACATACTGTCCCTCCCCTCCCAAGACACCAGGCTCTGGCCTGTGCTCTCCCAGCTCAAACATTTCTACACACAGTGAGCAGCTCCAACTGAACCCTCTTGTAGTCTTCTCTACCCAGGCCTATTTGCCTTGTTGCCTGGAGCCTCCCAGACGGTCTGAGATTTGAACAAGGTTTAATTCTTGGCATTTAGGCCAAGGATTCTGTAGACACCTTTCCAATGTTTTCCTCTTTAGACATTTCCTCATGGCTAAGACACATTAGTTTTTGTTCTCACTGACCTTCAGCTTATACTGGCCATGAGTCAGTAGTGTTTATCTTTGGGTTTCTGGCCCCTGAAGGCTGCCACTAACACATCTTCCTCCTTTTCTTCCTTCTCCTTCTCTTATTAGCCTATACCCACTGTATAAAATATAAATTTTATTATTATGTTTTCTTATATGTAATCTATGTACTTCAATTATACATATTTACTACTCCCACCACCTTTCTAGTTTCAAGTTTTTCATTCTTTTTCTTTTTTTAAAAAAATATATGAGTGTTTGAATGCATGCATGTAAGCCCACTGTGTGCATGCCTGCTTCCCATGGAGAACAGAAGAGGCAGCTAGATCCTCTGGAATTTGAGTTACAAATGGTTGTGAGCTACCATTTATCTGGGAACCAAACCTAGGTCTTCCTAAAGAGTAGCAAATGCTCTTAACCATTGAGCCATCTCTTGAGCCCTCCTGTCTCTCTTTTTAAAAAGATGATTTTTAACTATATGTGTGTGATATATGCATATGTATGTGTCTCTCTGTGTGATATGTGCATATGTGTGTCACATATGCATACATGTGTGTCTGTGTGGGGTATGTGCATATGTATGTGTCTGTATGGGAGTTATGTGCAAATGTGTATGGGTATCTTATGAAGCCAGAAGAAGGGGCATCCCCTGAGCTGGAGTTAAAGGTGGCTGTGAGCCATCCAGTGTTGGTGCAGGCTTTGAATTCGGATCTTCTGTGTGCTCTTAACCACCGAGACACATCTCTAGCCCCTCATGTCTTTTAGTTATGTCTTATTTTTCTAAAACTCAAATTTTGCACATGAAATAGAAAACACATATTTGTCTTTCTGCGCTTTATTGCTTTTGCTTTAGATAACAATTGTCAGCTACATCCATTTTCTTCAAATGTCATAATTTCATTTTTCTTATTATCTGGATCATACTCCACTTTATTTACATGACAGATTATCTTTACCTTTCCATTTGTTGAGAGACATAGGCTGGTTGCATAATGTGGCTGTTGTAAACAATAATCATCATCTTTTGACTTTGGTGACTATTTTGACCCTTCTGTCTGTTCCATGAAAAAACCTCTGTACAGGCCTTTCTCCATACAGCCATTACCTTCATCCACAGAACCCCAACTTTTGCCCCATCAGTCTCATGTGGGGGGAAAACCCTTGTGGAAGCTGCAGCCCTGAAGGCAACTCTTGTCCCTCCCCAGCCTGCCGGTCCTGGCCCTCGCCTTCCCAAAGTATACTGCATCATCAGCTGCATTGGCTGCTTCGGCCTGTTCTCCAAGGTAGGGTTAGGCCAAGATGCCTTGGAGCCTGTTAGGCAGGCCTGTTCAGCTTTCTGGCTTTGCCTGGCTGCTTGCCTTGCAACTTGAGCCCTTGGAAGAATGCCTTCCTGATAGCCCAGCCAGCATCAAGGATATTGGGTAAAACTATTTAAAGGAAATCTAGGAGGCTGTTTCCCCTCAGAGAGAACTATTGTTCATTCTTCTTCCTATCTTCCTGGTTGGTCTGAGACTCAGATGAAGTATAATATGAGAAAATGCTTCATAAAAAGTAAGGCACGGCACAAGTCAAAAGGCAAATATGCAGTGAGGATTCCAAGATTTACCCTGCCTCTGATGAGACTAAAAGAGAAATTTTGAGGACTTGTGTTGCTGGGGATAGGATCAAGGCAGAGTCCCTAATTCTGGACATTGCCTATCTTGGTAGCCAGAAGGACTCTGGATATAGGAGAGGAATTTGGTGGACTTCTGCTTGGGTGGATCTTACTTGTGTGAATCACTGAGAGATGGTGGCAACCTCACCCTGATGATAGTCCACAGTAAATGGGACAGTGATACCCAGAAAGTTAGGCTTCTAGGTTTCTACTCCAGCTAGTGCTAATGTGGGACATGACTTGCTAGGTGTGGTAGTTTTATACCAGTGTCAGGAGACAGAAGGAGTATGACAGACAATCAAAAGAAAGTAGGTTTTGTCCATGAGATGGAAGCCAGTTGGTGGAGGGGCCTAGAAAATACCAGAGAATAAGCATGAGCAGTGTGAGAGACTTGGGATATTCAGAAGAATCTTTCTAAGCCTCGCTTACCTTCCTGTTGTCCTTCCCCTGTAGATACTGGATGAAGTGGAGAAGAGGCATCAGATCTCCACGGCTGTCATCTACCCATTCATGCAAGGTCTCCGAGAGGCTGCCTTTCCCGCTCCTGGAAAGACTGTCACCCTTAAGAGCTTCATCCCTGACTCAGGCACAGAGGTGGGTTAGCAAGTGTGTTACTCTCTACCTGGCTGGAGAGGGTGGGCTTCTGTGTGTCCTCGCAATGCTTTTCTATCATTCACCAGGTTCAAGTATGGGGGGAAGCTGAGTCAGGCATTATGATTATTGCCAGAGCTAAAAATTCACCCAAATGTGCTGCACCTGATGTCCACCTGCACCTATTTACTATTAAGTCTACTGAATTTTGTCTGTGATCATGTATGGTGCTAAGTTCGTCCCCCTAGTCTCCAAACTTCCAGTTGCTCTTACACCTTATCCCCATTCTCTCTGTGTGTTCCGTATCTCTACCCTACAGTCTCCAGCTGTTTTATTTCTTATCATTCATCCCCACCCCTAAGTCCACACCCATCTCTTGAAGTAGGTACTATTGCACCAAGATACTAAAGAACAGAGGCAGCAAGTGGAATTCCAGCCAGGATATCTGGGACTTTGGAAATTCCATGTGCACCTCTGAACCTGGTCATTCCCAAAGAAGAACCAGGGCGTCACTAGGAATTTTCAGTTACTGGAAAAATAAGTACCGAAGGAAAGACAAGTACTGAAGTACTGTGTGTTGAAATAGGTATTTTCTGGGTAGAGTGGTTAAGTAAGATGAACATGGCTCCCGATGTCATAGAGCTTAAAAGTCTCATGGAGAAGGCACATCTGTAAGCATGTAAATGAGCAAACACACCAGAGGATACAGTTCAAGATTTGGCAGTCACACTGAAAGGAAAAGCAGTGTGTAGCATGAGAAAAAGATGAGGAAGTCTTAAAATGACTAAGGTAGGCATCTGGGGCTCAAGGATAAGAAGGAAGAGAGAAAAGCAGTGCATGGGAGGCTGGAGCCATGCCTGGCTTTAGGCAGGAGAAGAGCTCTGCTCAGAACAAGCACATGGTGGCGAACAGGGCCTGGCTTTAGGCAGGAGAAGAGCTCTGCTCAGAACAAGCACATGGTGGAGCATGTGGAAGATGGGCACGTGGCCCAGGCCGGATCCCCTAGGCCAAACTGAAGATTCCACCCAGCTGTCTTCAGAACAGAAGGGAGCCACGGGCAGGTGGGCCAGGATGAGAGCTGTCCTGTGGACAGAGTGGGGTAAGCCTGGACCGGGTCTGTGATTTTGTATTACTGAAGCCTTTCTCTCTGATTTTCCCGCAGTTCATCTCACTGACAAGGCCCCTGGACTCCCACCTGGAACATGTGGACTTCAGTGCTCTGTTGCACTGTCTCCATTTTGAGCAGATTATTCAGATCTTTGCCTCTGCAGTACTGGAAAGAAAAATCATCTTCCTGGCAGAAGGTCTCAGGTAAGTTCCACCACTGGCTGGCCAGACTAAGTTGCATCCCCAGATCCACGGGACTCTATTGGTGCTTCTTGAAGGCAATCTGATTGTAGGGCCAATGTGTGTACCTTCCAGGTTCAAGTTCCTGAACTGCATTTTAGGTCTAGAGAAACAGGTAATGCAACTTGTCTGACCACCTGCAAACTTGATTGCTGCCTGACCCTAATCTAAGAAGGACATGGAGTATTCCTGGTATAATACAGGCAGAGCCAGCTAGTGTGAATGCAGACATGATTCTGCCCTTGCAAGGCCAGGCTTGAGGGAAGAAAGGGTGGAGAAGAGGACAGGAAGCTATATAATAGCATGCAGGATAAGCTCATCTACCCATTTATGAACTCACTCAACAAATATTTATTGCATGTCAGCTGTTTGCCAGATGCCAAGCATTGGGGAGATAGCAAGAAGACTCCGTGTTTGCCCTTAAGGAGATGAGGGTTATGTATTGGTTTTAAGCATAGGTATTGGAACCAGCAGAATGACTTTCAAATCTTGTTCTTCCACCTTTAGCTAAAGGTGGTGACTTAATTCCACTTAAGTCAGCTTCTTAACTTCTTGAAGTCAAGGTCTCCTTATCTGTAGAATGAAAATGGTTGAATTTGCTTTATATAATTGTGATGAGGATTAAAGGCCAGGACACACAGTGGTAAACACCCAGGACACCACCAGGTGCAGACGGTAAGGACTACCTGCTACTCTCAGTCAGTTCACAGCTGAGTATATGCCTGTGTGTAGAAGCAGGAAGCTGGTCATGTGTTGGCTGCTACCTTCAAGAGAATTCAAGTCTGAAAAGGTTGTGGGGACATATGTGACAGGCAGAGAAAAACAACTGATAGAGTAGGAGATTGACTGCGTAGCCCCGGCTGGCTTGGGACTCACAGAGATCTGCCTGTTTCTACCTACTGAGACCTGGGATTACAGGCGTGTGCTGCCACAGCAAGAAGCAATAACTTTGGGCTGAATCTTGGTATGATCTTTATCAGGAAAAGAAGTTGAGGAAGCTATCGAAGATCAAGGGAATGTCATAAGTTCCAGAGAAAAGAAAGCTTGGTAGGGATCAGGGGGCCTGGGTGTTGAAAACAGTAAAGTCAGCAATAACCAAAAAGGAAAATATAATAGGCTAATTCTTGTGGAAAGGGGCATCATTTTTGTTTCAGAGAACATTCTTCTACCCTTGTGTGGAAGAAGTTTCTGTGGCAGAAACTTGGCTCAGGCTCCAACTAGGTTCTTTCTCTTCTGATCCGTGTTTGGGGTGTGAAAACTGCACATTTATCTCTCAGGAATGAACTTTCTCCAGGAAATGTTAACACTTCCTACTTTCTTGCCACATGGAATTTTCAGAAACTGGAGGCTGGTGCAGGGAGGGGACTTCCAGCCAGCCAAGTGTTTTAGCTAGGCACTCGAGACTTAGTCTCTCTAACTCAGGAAGTGCTAGCTTGATAGCAAGGTTTCCGCATCTCTGTTTTTATTGGCCTTAGATGTGGGGCAGTTTGGCTGGAGAAATGAAAAGCTAAGAGAGCTAGTAGAGAATAGGGATGCCAGAGTGGGGCTGTGTATGGTGAGGGTAAGGAAGGAGACTAAGCTGTGACTTGGATGGTAATGACATTTGGAATCCTTGTAGCAAAATCTTGAGGAGTCACCTCTGTGGGACTTTCCGGAATCTCTGAGTATTGGTTCTTGGAACCCAGGAATTTCCCAGATGAACTCAGGCACCAACCTGGTAGCTACAGGGAGCCATAGGGGGACATGGCTGTGGATGATGGTTCTGCCTCTTCACCAAAGCCTGGTGTTAGCTGTGAGTTCTTCAAAGAAGGGCCAGTGTTATTCTTCTAGCTATCCCTGTCCTTTGCAGAGTAGATGCTCATTCATCTCCTGCTTAAATGAAGACATGTCTTCTGAGCCACTCTTATTTCCTGCTGGTAATGACTTGGGAGAACTAGGTGGGAATAGAGATTAAAGGGGGCCCCACCCTGGTTAGTAGGGCCTCGCCTCTCCTGATTTCTACTTTTCCTCTTTCCAACAAGTAGCTACAAGCTCTGTGATCAGCATGGCTTCCAGACTTGGATTTTTTTTTTTTTTAACCCAGCATAGGAGCATTGTCAGTAGCTTCTGTATGTGTGGGGCTATGAGCCAATGCATAGGAACATAAGCCTTGCTGACCCACTCTCTTTTCTGTGTTCCAGTACCCTATCTCAGTGTATTCACGCTGCAGCTGCTCTGCTCTACCCCTTTAGTTGGGCACACACGTACATCCCTGTGGTCCCTGAGAGCCTTCTGGCAACTGTCTGCTGCCCCACCCCCTTCATGGTTGGGGTACAGATGCGCTTTCAGCAGGAGGTTATGGAGAGTCCCATGGAAGAGGTAAGCTGCATCAAAGAGAGTGCATGGCTTACAGCCAGGCAGGCTTTGATTTGTATCCTAGCTCTGCTGCCAACAACTGTGTGAGTTGGGGCATATTACTTAATCTCTTTAACCCTGAATTTATCAGTAAAATGGGTATGACTGTCTTCAGTTGCTAGAGACAGAGGAAAATGACATGACAATGCTATTAGCCTGCCGCCAGATACACAGTCCACGTTCAGTGAATGTTGGCTCTCTTCTCTTGAATGATTGCTTTGTGGACTTAGGAAGCAAGATGTTGCTTATTCTAAAGTCATGAGACTATCCTATTAGCCCATTATCCTTATTGAGTAGTCACTTGGGTGATCTCTTAGTTAAATGAATGATAACAGCTGGCTTGTGCAACACACACTCCGCTGGAATTCAAATTCCTTGGAAAGAAGCCCTTTTGTAAACTAAGTCTTGAAAACGAAGAGATTTACAACAAGTACCATCTTTTTGAGTAGCTCAGGGCTCAGTTGGGTAATGATGATATAGATTCTAATCCCCTTTGAATTTGTTGCTTTTTGTTTCTTAGTAATAGACCTGACATAAAAGAGGGTTCAATTATGTAAATGGGCATTAATCACATCTACCCAAAAAGGTGGACAAACAACTTCAAATATGTGATCTAAGGACAGTATATGACTATAGCTGAATACAGGAGGTCTGCTTGGGAAGGTCAGCCTGGCTAACCATTAACTCACTGTGTAGAGACATAGTAACCTATTGAGGCATCATGATGCAAGCACTAAAGAGGCCCAGAGGTAGTCCTAGTGGGAGGATTTCCCTTTACATAAGAGGCTGATGAGGTCCAGCAAACCTACAACTTAGATGAGGCAGCCGTGGAACTCAGAGAAAGGCCAAAGCCTTTCTTTAGAGGGTGCTCCTGGGAGGGAGAGAAGTAGGCTGTTTGCTTTTGTTTCTCTAGCTCTTGCGGTGAGTACACATGCCCTGTGAACAACCCTTAGCCTTATGATTAACTGGAGCAGTGTATCAGCCCCACTTTAGCAATAAAACTCAAAATGTCTCAACCCCAGAGGTTATGTAACTTCCCTCCTCCGAAGCTGAGGCTCTTCCCAACAGTCAAGGAAGACAGGACGAAGGCCAGTAAGGCTCTGGCTCTTGCTAGTCAAGAGCTTTTGCTTATTTTATTCCTTTGCAGCTGCTCTGAGAAATGAGCAAGACTGATAAAGGAGGAAGTCCATATGGGGTGCAAGCATGAGTGCTCTTTGGGCATAGTGCAAGGTTCTCTGATTCTCCACATAAGCTTTCCGAAAGGAATTACACCTTACATAGACAATATAATCAAAACACTGAAAAGACTTCTGGGAACAATCTCAAAATATATTCATGCACACACTTCTCCCCATCCCCGAGTGAACAACTTTGCTTGCATGAAGACATTCAAACCTATGTATACATGCTGTTTCAGGCCTGGACTAGTTCAGCTTTTCTCCCCTGATGATGGATAATTACAGCGCAGGCTGTGTTTTGGCAAATTTTCTAGTTTCTCTCTCCTTACATTTGAAAGTAGAGAATATATAGGGATCCTTCGTTCTATTTTCAAGACCCAGGTAGGAAACTGAAAATAGGGACCCAAAGTAGTCCTGAAATGCCAGCACAGGATTTGAGACCTATGGTTCATTGGTGACCAAATCCCAGTCTAATGGTAGCAGTTTGATACTGTTGTTGTTGCTATTTTTGAGTGTCAGTTTTAAAAATAGTACAGGTTGGCTGTGGTATGCCTTGCTTATAGGGAGTGAAAGGAAGAGGATCGGGGTTCAAGACTACCCTAGACTACATAGGATCCTATCACAAGCAAAATCAAGGAATGATAATCAGAGTTCATGAGTTTTCAACTGTCAAAATCTAATCATTTGAAATATTTTAATTTAAATATTGGAAGTGGTCCAGTTACCTAAGAATACTCTGAGGAATCAGCAGCATGACTGTTTTGTGTTGTGGTCTAAATTGCAGGATTTTCAGGCTGTCCTGATAGTCCAGGAACTTGATTCTCTGCTTGTTTCATTTGTAGCCAGCACATTTGTAGTTCTTGCTTCTTTTCCTTTCCTCTTCCTGTTGACCCTGAGCTAATATTCTTCGCTTGCTGAGTTTCCTACTGGAAGGCTCAAGACTGTTATCAAGCTTTTAATTAATTGAATCCAGGCCAACAACATGCTAAACATGTGCTCTACCACTGACCTCCACTTCCAGCCAATCTAAGGGAGCTTTTAAGAACCCTAGGCGATTGTGCATGAGAGTGTGAAAACATAAAAACATGGCTGCCTCTGTCCAGTCCTCTGCTGAGTAGACCAGAGGACAAGATGCTGAAGGAGAGCTAGAAAGGAATATGATCCCAAAGACCACAATTTAGGCTTGAAAACTGGTTTGCTATTTCTCAACACCATGACCTCTGGGAACTGTATGCGAGGAGGGACACTAAAGAAGCTGCTGACATGACTCTCGTTGATATGGTTAAGAATTTTATTGTAGATAGATAGGAGAGAACAGCCAGCGGCATCTGGAAGACTCCAGAGCAGAGACAGAAAGAAGTAGACTGAACAGAGTCAGCATATTGGACATGGGTTTTGCAGGAGAGAATAGTGAAGAGTGAGATGGCAAGAAATAGAGAAGAGAGCAGAGAGAGAGGGGGAGAACGCACACAGAGAATAGCTGGGTTACAAGAAGGAAAAGTAGCTAAGCAGGGGGAAGCTGAGCTTACATTAACAGTGAGAAGGCTAGTATGTGGAATTTAGAATGTGTGACAGGCACTTGTTATACTGGGGGAACCTGGGGGGACAGCATGGGTCTTTGATATGCTGACAAATGCCACAGTCAGCCATATGTCCCTCCTGCCTGAGGTAAGGGAAAGGACCCCTTTTGGCCTATGGGAATAGTTTTCACTGTTCCCTGAGGAATGCCGCCAGAAATTCTATAGTCCAGGTTGAGCTCATGCCTAGCTCATGCCTATTTGGACTGCTTTTTGGAGCTTGGAGTTCCATTGGTTCTGATATGAACTTCTCTAGGTTTACCTCATATACAAAATGAGGTAGTACCTGCTTCATAGAACCACGGCTAGAATTAAATAAAATTTGCCAAGTGAGTACTGTGTGTGCGCCATGGGCATGCTCTGCATTAAGAAAGCAGTTTCTATTATTCCTGTAGCCAGTGTTGTTTTCCTTTTATCCTTATGATGATGATGATGATACAGGGTCTCTCTGGTGATGATGATAATGGTCTGTTTAGCCCATCCAGGCTTGGAATTTAAGGCAATCTTCTGTTTGCCTAGGATCCCAGAGTGCTAGGACTAAAGGTATGCACCATCATGCATGCTTGGCATGATTAGTACTTTGAGGAAATGGCTATGGCTATGATTTCCCTGTATTTACTTCTCTTCTATCTTGGCTCTTTCCTTGGCTACACACACACACACACACACACACACACACACACACACACACACACACACCCCATTTTCTACCTGGGAAATTAGATTTCTAGAAAAACAAAAAAAGGAATGAGAAAGCCAGGCAGGAAATGAGAATTACAAATGCTGATGTTACTGATACCTGGGCTTCAGGTATAGTCATGGCGGAAAGGGAGTTGGTAGTTGAGGTCCATGAAGAGATAAAGCCATTTTGTATTTCCTTCAGGTCCTGTTGGTGAATCTTTGTGAAGGAACTTTCTTATTGTCGGTAAGTGGCTGCATTGAGGGCACCCGCAGGCCTGCCACCAACACAACCTTTTGAGTTTCATGATGTCTTACTGATCTCATTAGATACTTGAGAAAGAACTTGTGCTGTGTCTTTCCCTCATGAGGTCACAAGCAAGGACCCAAATGCTTCAGCGACAGTGACTTCTGAGCATCCCATATACACTTGTGGGGATGAATAGATACTTTACATCTCTTTGCTCATGCTTGAATTCAAACTGGAGCCAAAGAAATGATTTCTGCTCCTCTATGTGGAGCAGTGCTTTGGGGTGGAGTAGGCCAAGAATTCATATACTCCTCAGTCTCCTGGAACCCTTCCTGATCACCTGACAAGAATACTTGATCTTGACCTAGCTCTGTTCTCTTCTAGGTTGGTGATGAAAAAGACATCCTACCACCAAAACTTCAGGATGACATCTTGGACTCTCTTGGTCAGGGAATAAATGAGTTAAAGAGTAAGTTCTAGGCTCCTCTTTCCCAGGGAGCTTCAGGGAATTATTCCCAATTGGTTTATTAAAATAAACTCATTTAGTAGCTTGTGTTAGGGAACTAGATACTGAATGAGACTTTGTTTCTTTCCTTAGAGAATGATAGAGAATCTATACCCAGTTCCTAGACTCCTATTTTGCTTTTGTTTCGTGAGACATGGTCTCAAACTGGTGGCAATCCTCCTGTCGCAGACTCCTGAAATTTGGTATTGTGGCTATGAGCCATCTCAGTCTCACTATTCCACGTCAGTCACTTATTTACTCAGCTACCTCCCCTGGGAACTTCTGGACGACAATGATCGCAGACTCCTGAAATTTGGTATTGTAGCTATGAGCCATCTCAGTCTCAGGCTTCCACGTTAGTCACTTATTTACTCAGCTACCTCCCCTGGGAACTTCTGGACGACAAT